CCTGTCCTGGAAATCACTCTCCGGTGGTTGGCTTCGAACTCACAGAGATCTGCCTGTTTGCCTCCCAAATGCTGAGATTAAAGGTGTGTGCCACCACCACCTGGCTGATGTTGTATTTTTATATGTGCACTGATGTCTTGTCTGCATGTATGTCTGTGTGAGGGAATAGGATTCTCCAGAACTGGAGTTACAGTTGTGGGTGGTGGAAATTGAACCCTGGTCCTGTGGAAGAGCAGCAGTGCTCTTAACAACCGAACCATCTCTCCAGACAAAAATATTAATATTTTAATTACTGTAATTTTATGGATATTAGGCTGGTAATATTAATTGTATCTATTTCTCCTTAAAATTTAAAAATAGGCAAATGCTTTCAAATTAGGTTTTAAATGAGATATGTGTGATTGAGTTGTTCTAGATAGTTCCAGAGCAAAGTTCAGGAATTTGCAGAAGTGTGAAGAAAACTTCCTTATACTTACTAGGTGAGAGGGCATGGGAACCAAGAGAGTAAGAAACCCAAGCCAGGCAGAGGCGGCATACACCTTTAATGCAGGCAGAAGCAGGTGGATCTCTGAGTTTGAGGCCAGCCTGGTCTACAGAGCAAGTTCTAGGACAGGCAGGATAACACAGAGAAACCCTGTGGGGGGGGGGGGAGACTTAAGGCAAAAGCAGGGAGTTTTCATTTAAAAAGGGCTGAGGCTGGACCTCTGAGATCAGTAGGCAGGGGCAGGATGTGAGCTGAACTCGACAGACATCCACTGCACACCTGCAAGGAAAGACGGCTAAGAATGGGGTAGAGATGAGTCTAACCTGCCTCTGTCTGGAAGACACCGCGTGCGATGTTCCATGCTGTCGAGCATTTTCCTGGCTCACAAGAGACTCCACATTTACTGGACAGATGAATTTAGGCCCCTAGCTCCAGCTGTCAAGCAACAGGGACATGGGGAAGCCTATTAGGGTCCTCAGGACTGGACAGCAAGTGCTCCTAGCTGCTGACTCTCCAACCTCACAACAGAATTCAAAATCAGCCTGGTCTGGTGGTGCAGGTCTGTAATCCCAGCACTGGGAAGTGACGACAGGAGGATCAGGAGTTCAAGTCCAACCTGGGCTACAATCAAGTGTAGAACGGAAGAGGTAGTTCAGCAGCTTGGAGCGCTGACTCTTCTTCCAAAGGGTCCTATTTTAATCCCTGCACTCAGGAGGCAGAGGCAGGTGGATTTCTGAGCCTGGTCTACAGAGCTATTTTCAGGACAGTCAGGGTGACACAGAGGGCTATTTGTGTATGGAGGTCAGAGGACATTTTGTGGGAGTCGGTTCTTTCCTTCCACTTCGTGGGTCCTGGGGATTGAACCCAGGTCATCAGCCTTCTGGGGCAACCACCTTTTCCTACTTAACCATCCTCCTTCTCCTCTCACTTTTGTCTGGAGACCCAGGTTTTTTTTTTCTTTCTTTCTTTCTTTCTTTCTTTCTTTCTTTCTTTCTTTCTTTCTTCCTTCCTTTCTTTCTTTCTTTCTTTCCTTTTTTTTTTTTTTAAAGACAGTCTTTGGCTCAGAAACTAAGAGCACTGGTTGCTCTTCCTGGGTGCTGGGTTGGAGTTCCAGTACCCACATGGTGACTTACAACCTTCTGTAGCCCCGGTGCCAGGAGATCTAATGCCATCTGGCCTCCTTGGGCATCAGGTCCACACATGGTGCACAGACCCACAGGGACAAACTGTCTACACATAAAGCACTTCAACTGTGTATCTGGGATCATAGGTGTGCACTGCCTTGGCTAGTCTAGGTGGTGTTAGGGAGCCCAAGGCTTCCTGCTGGCCAGGCACACACTGTAATAATTGATGCCATCTTTGTTTTTGCTATATTGCTCTGAACTTCTGGCTCCAGACAAGCTGAGCTTCTTTCTGTCTCAGCGTCCCGAGTAGCTGAGATGTCAGGCACCCAACACTGTGGCTCAGGAAAATAATTTATTAAAGGAGGTTACACCCACATGGAAACAGTCTGAAGAACAGAGACTGATGTTTAGTGAGTCAGAAGCTTTAACAAAGGGTGAGAGGAGTTGATTAGGAAAAAGTACACCTCAAAGGCCCTTTTACTTCCTTCTGCAGGGACTAGGGATTTCCCCTACTGATAAGGTCTCAGGTATTCCAGGCTCCTCTCTTACTGCTGCGTCAGGATGACCTTGAATTTACCTTCCCCTGTCTTCACAGGATCAGCAGCTACTTATGCCAGGTTTCATGAGAACCCTAGAATGGAGATACCCCAATCCTCCTGGTCTTTGAAAACAGGACAGGAACCTGCAAGTGGAATTCGCTGTCACTCAGTCTCCAGCACAAGGGAATACACAGATGAAACCTCTCCTGCTGAAGCCTGAGGCTCCTCGAGTGGTGGTGTTGTGGTCATATGCCATTTATTCTGAGCGCCTATTCGGCCAACTTCAATAGGCAATAACTCATTTACTAAAACATGTAAACGACCTCAGCACCAAAGCAGCCAAGTGGAAAACTGCCTTCACCACACACTCCAGAAGATGCTGTCTTCGGTTTTGGCAGAGGCGGCTGGGAAAAGCCCTCACTCTGCCTTGGAAACACATCTGGGCTCCTGGCTGCAGCTGTGATCCAGGAGAAGACAGCAACACCCGGTACCAACTTTTCTCCTTATATAGAAAGACCAACCATCCAGGAATCACCACCCTCCAGCCTCACAGGGAGGAGCCAGGGGCAGACAGGAGAGGGGAAGTTTCAGTTTCCCGTCACTCAAAGCTCTACCCACAGTGGCATCTTTTCATCAAATGCTACACAAGTGAGGGCTGCTGTGCTTACGGGAAAGCTGAGGACATTGGCTCAAAGTCACGGTCTCTCACGGAATTCACTGACTAACTGGGTTAACTGGACAGTGAACTCTGGAGATCCTCTGGTTTCTGCTCCCCTAGTGCTAGGGTCCAGATGTGGACGCTGGGGAATCCACTCAGGGCCTCACGCTTGTGTGACAAGCATTTGACCCACTGAGCCATCTCCCCAGCCCCGCACCCCGGCCTCTAACTGGACGGCTGCAGTACCCACTCAGCACATGCTGTTGGTGGCACACACATGGACCACCATGTGTTAATGTTCTAGGGGCAAAAGCAGACCCAACACTAGGAAACGGACAAATGAATTGTAAGTTAAGTACCCTTCCTTTTGTTGGTGACTCTTGGCGATTGAATCCACAGCTTTGCGCATGCTAGGTTCTACTACGAACCATGTCCTGGTCCAGAGGACCCTCAAGAAATCAGACTATAAGCCGGGCGATGGTGGCGCACGCCTTTAATCCCAGCACTCGGGAGGCAGAGGCAGGTGGATCTCTGTGAGTTTGAGACCAGTCTGGTCTACAGAGCTAGTTCCAGGACAGGCTCCAAAGCCACAGAGAAACCCTGTCTCGAAAAACCAAAAGAAAGAAAGAAATCAGACTATAGCGAGGAAGAGATGACCCCCGTTGGTACATTGGTACATCCGCTGATCTCGCCTCCCTCTTCTACACAACCCCACACAGCCCCTACTACTATTGTTTCTCTCAAACTGGGGGTCTCATCTAGGCCAGGTTGGCCTTCAACCCCTGGTCCTCCTGCCTTTCCCTACCAAGTGCTGGGATTACAGGGCATGCCACCATACCTGGCTTCACCCACTCTGGGTATCCGCTGCCAAGTTTTCTGATTGGCGCATGCCTTTAGTCCCAGCACTCAGAAGGCAGAGACAAGTGGATCTCGGTGAGTTCGAGGCCAGCCTGGTCTATAGAGTGAGTTCTAGGACAGGATCTAAAGATACAGAGGAACCCTGCCTTGAAAAACCCAAACCAAAAAAAAAAAACAAACCAATCCAAACATCACCGAGGAGTACCACCATATTCTGCCCTCTCCCCTCTAAAGTGCTGCTAACAACATGCCATGAGGAAATTAAAAGAACCATTCAAGGTGTGGGAGCATTCTGAAAATGAAGGAAGGCACATGGTTTTAATCTAGGACTCGGGAGGCAGAGGCAAGCAGATCTCGGTAAATTACAGAACAGCCAGGGCCACAAGGTGAGACCTTGCTCCAAAATTGGAAAAAAAAAAAGGGCCTATATAAACACGAATTGTTTAGTAATCATTGTTACCACCCCAACACTCTGGGAATCCGACCAGACAGGAAGGCTAGGGAGGGGAAAACGCCTGACTTCTGAGGCAGTGGCCTTGGTTTTCTGCTGTCTTCCTTTCTCCACCAACTCAGTGATCACAAGATGCAGCTTGAACTTTTGCACTGATTTCTACATAACAGGGTGCGTAAGCAGGGCAGTGCCAAGGCCTACAGGGCTACTTCCTCGTCCGTGCCCTCACCACCCACAAACTGCTGAACCTCCCGTTCTCAGTGCCCTCCTGGGTTGCAGTAAGGATTAAACGATTAAGTACAATACACTCGACAAGACTCTGAAAAGTGTTCAGCACCAAGCAAGCAATCATCAGTTACAGCAACTCCCTGCTTCCTGGTTCAGGGTGCAGCAGAGAGGTAGGTCTCTGGGAGCCCTCAGCACTGCGGAGTGTAAAGTGCCACGTGGCCTGGGAGAGGGAAGGGGCCATGCAATGGGCAAAACAGGTCCTTGGGGAGAGCATTGCCACACTGTGGGCGACTCTGCTGGAGGCCCAGGCGGGCTTACTCTCCATCGGGGAGAGAAGGGTGCGTCTCACTTTATTTTTGGCCTTTTTGAAGTGACTGGGTCAGGCAGTGTGGAGTATATTCTTAATCTCACCACTAGGGAGATAGAGGCAGGTGGATCTCTGTGAGTTCGAGGCCAGGCCTGGTCTACAGAGTGAGTTCCAGGACACCCAAGGCTACACAAAGAAACTGCCTCAAAAAAAGGAAAAAAAAAAAGGGACTGGGTTGAGAATAGCATTCCTTGGGGACATGGCCAGCAAGCCGGGCTCAGGCCGAGGAGCTGGAGGACAGCAACAACAATCTAACCTCCAGGGAAAATCATGGTCACCCCTTTTTTCAAATGCCTAACTGGCCTTACTACCTCAAAATATTTTTCTTTTTGATCGGAAACAGCCTAGAACACAATTAAGCAACGCTGACCAGTCCAAAGGGGCCCACAGGAAAAGACTGTAAACGTCACATTGGGATAGTGGGGAGGGAAGAAAGGCTACAGAGGCCTCCAGAGAACCATCAACTGTCTCTTGGCATAGATGGCTGAGAGGTCCAGGAGACTAGAGCCCCTCAGAATTCTGGAATGTGGTTTCCAGTGCAAATAAGGTCTGGTTTGTAGAAATGGTGCTGGAATGTGTCCAGGCACTTCCTGTCTGTCCTTTGAGTCACTTGGAAATGGCTAACAAATAGGTTGGACACCTGGCTTCAAATGGAGAAGGGGATTTCCATATAGACCCTGCACCGTAAAATTCTCTTCCTTCCCGAAGCAATTGAGATCAGGACTGAAATGTACCCTAAAGACTCCAGTGTCCTACAGTGGCTCATGGCGAAGTTAGAGCAAATGCTAGACTCAAGGAGACGGCTCTCATGTGTGAAAAATGCTGCTGAGAGGACTTGACGTCCAGGTTTGAGAGCCACTCGCTGTTGGGTCTGGATAACGAACATCCAAAGCTGCGTTTCTGTCTGTTCCTTGTTCCTAGGTCAGCCAGCCACGTGCAAACCGAGCATCCTCACTGGAGAATTGAAGCACAGCTTGGAAGTGAATCCTGGCGGAGAGCAGGAGCCATCTAAAAACAGCTCCCTTTTATTTTAGTATTAACACCCACACAGAAATCTGTGCAGGTCAAAGAGCGAGGACAGTTGGCACCTGCCTATCAAGCCCTGTGCAGTTCTCAAGGCCGAGGAGGCAGGCCGGTACTAGCACTGGCTTCTGTAAGGTCTTTTCCCAGAACAGGTTAAATATGCAAATGCACGCTGGTGGGTATCTGCTGCAATTCCTGGCCGCACCTCCAAGGCAAACACGTTACCTCAGGTGACTCTTGGCCCTGCAGGGAAGGGACTGGACCCAAGCCCCTGTCAATTGCCGGACTAGCACGCGTAGACTACAGGCCCTCTTCTGGGTTGTCTGAGAATAAAGGCAGGGGCGTTTTCAGACACAACAGATCCCTGGAGCACATCATGCCATAAAATACGGCAGAATGGCAGAGGAGGTCGGCTAGTATGAGATAGGAAACTGGCTTTAAAAAATGGTCCTAAATTCTTTGATTAATTCTTAGCTGCACATTCAAGGTAACAATTCAAGCCAGGTAATGTGTTACCTATGATCGGAACAGTCCACAGGCCGAGGCAGACCAATCTCATGCTCGCCAGCACATGCACACGAACCAAGTTATTCATGAAGACAATGAGTAGCTTTTTGTGTCTATTAAAAAAGGACAGGCTGGGTGTAGTGGTGCACACCTTTAAGCCCAGCACTTTGAGTTTGAGGCCAGCCTGGTCTGCAGAGTTACAGGACAGCCAGGGCTACACAGAGAAGCCCTGCCTTGAAACAAGTAAAACAAAAAGCTCTGACGTGCTATCAAATATTTATTTTAAGCAGGTTCACCTAGTAAGCCATACTAGACAACCTGAATTTAGTTTATTCTAAGGTTCTGAAAGCTGTTGTTTCTATTTCAAACTTTCTGACGTCTACTCAAGCTGCAGTGTGTCTGTGGAGGTTCAAGCGATAATTTGCAGGCGCTGGTTCTCCTTCTACCATGTGGGTGGGCAGACTCAGCAGTAAGCACCTTTATCCGCTCAGCCAATAGGCAGGCCCCATTCCCTTTTTTTCTACCTTCTAGTAAATTCTTTTACTTTCAAAACCCCTCCCTACCCCCTTTCCTTCTTTTTTTCCCCCCCCCCCCCCCAAGATAGGATTTAACTGTGTGGCCTTGGCTGTCCTGGAACTCACTCTATAGATCAGGCTGACCCCTAGCTCACAGGGATCTGCCTGCTTCTGAGTGCTGGGATTGAAAGCACTTGCCCCCACTGCCAGGATTTCTCCCTTTTGAGCTAGGGTCTTACTGACATCAACTGCAAGACTGCAAAGCCTCAGATTCCCTAGTGCTGAGATCACAGGGACGAGTCACCAAGTCTGCTTATTATTTTTGCTGTTTTCTCTTGATACATTATCATGTAGCCCTGGCTGTTCTAGGGCTATGTAGGTCAGGATGGCTTCAAATTTGGCAAAATCCCAAGTGCTGGGATCAAAGGTGAGTCACCATGACTAGCCTAATTTGAACTTTTTTTTTCCGACACAGGGTTTCTCTGTGTTGCTTTAGAGCCTGTCCTGGAACTAACTCTAGTAGACCACTCTGGTCTTGAACTCAGAGGTCTGCACGCATCTGCCTCCCAAGTACTGGGATTAAAAGTGTGCACTACCCTTGCTTGGCTTCCCCCCCACCCCCACCTGTTAACAGTCGTGGCTGTCCTGGAACGCTTAGAGTGGACTAGTCTGATCCTGAACTCACTAAGACCCACCTTCCTTTGCCTCTCAAGGGCTGGGATTAAAGGTGTGTGCTGCCACTGCCCGGCTCTATTTTAAACTTTTAAAAATACTTTTCTGGGCTTTGTGACAGAGATGCCCAGCACCAAGACTGAAGACTCGAGGTTGATTCCTGAGACTCGTGCAGTAGGAAGAGAGAACTGATACCCATAAGTTGTCCTCTAATTTTCATGAACTCACTGTGGTATGTGTACACTCACACAAAAAATAAAGTGCTGTTTACATTAACAAAACACTTGAGGCTGGAATGAAGTTTACTAGTATCATGTATGTGAGTGAAGTTTACAAGTATCATGTATGTAGCAAGCCAAGGGTCCATCCCCAGCACTGGAAAGGAGACACACAGGAACACACAACCTCCAAAACATGGTGCCCCTCAAAGCAAAGTAAGACCTGTTTGGTCAAATACACTTTTTCACTTACTACAAAAGCCTGTCTAAGATGCCACAGGCTCCAAGAGAGCTCAGCTGTGTGTGCTCAGCACTGCCAGAAGTCTAGGTTTTAATTCAGAGGACCCACAAACAAGTTTCTGGTCGAGCGAATACATTATGACATTTCTTTGATAATTTAAAAACTGAAGACGAGAGCTGGAAAGCCTTTAGAGGCCCCGGGTTCAGTTCCTGACACCCACACTGAGTAGCTTACAATCACCTGTGATTCCAGGTCCAGGGCACGCAATGCCCTCTTTTGACATTGTAATACATGCTCACATGCATTAATTAAAAATAATAAAATCTTCTTGATGATAGGTCATCTTATTGATGATCAGTCTATAAATCTGGATCTAAGGTCAGGTGTGGTAGTCCTAGCACTTGGGAGTTTGAGGCTAGCCTGGTGTACACAGTACCAAGACAGTCAGGACTACACAGAAAAACCACGCCTCCAAACAAATGGACAAGCAAAAGAACAAAACAAAAACTGAAGTTTAGGGGACATTTACAGCAGGCAGCTTGCCAAGCTTAAGGCAGCGTTTGTACTTGATGGGTGCCAGCTGAGAGCCTGTGAACAGGATTTTCCTCCTGCCCTCATGCCACAGACCACAGAGCCTGCTGGGACTCACTACAGGATGTACTCCATACCTAGCAGGCATGGAAATGCCATTTGCATTCTTAACTTTTTCTAGATTGTTAGGAGCCTGTGGGACTAGGCCAGTAGTTCTCAACTTTCCTCATGCTGTGACCCTTTAATACAATTCTTCATGTTGTGGTGAACAAAACTACTTCATTGCTTCTTCATAACTGTAATTTTGCTACTGTTAAGAATTGTAATGTAAATATTTTTGGAGACAGAGGTTTGTCAAAGGTGCCATGACTCACAGGTTGAGAACTAAAGCACTAGGTGCCCATTATCCAAGTAAATGAAAACATCCTTTTCTAGAGCTCTGCCATTCAGGGTATGCATACATGCAGATTCCAGAAACTCGTGGAAGTCAGGCCCGATGCCTCCCATTCTCACGGTAGTGCTTGTGGGTATAGACTGCTGCTGGGCCATTTAGCTGGGATGCAGTAAAAAAATGAGACTTACGTAGAAAGAGTTGGAGTGCCCAAGCCCTCTCATGTTCAAGGACTATCAAGTCATCACTCTTGCAAGTCTTCTGGGCTCCTACTGGCTCAAGTTAAGTAGTAATGTATTTTGAGGCATGTAGCTGTATCTATGTTAGTGGTTAATGGAACCAGGCAACCACTGGACAGAGGGTTATTACACTGCTCCAGTGGGATCCAGGACACATGAACAGGGTATGGGATTTGATTAGTTTCCTAGACTTTGAGCTTAAAAAATAGTTTTTCTTTCTCTAATATTCTACCCTGAATCAAGTTTATAAACAAATCCCAAAGATTTAATATAATACAAATATAGTTCATACTCAGCCTCCTTTTTCTTCAAGTAAACACAAAATAAAATAGTGAAGGAGATGAAACAACAGGAGCCCAGCATGGCGATTCTGATGTTAGCTAGCCAAGACTATATAAATTATATTGGTCTAAGCCCAGCACTTTTGAGTTCAAGACTAGCCTGAACTACATAGTGAGACCTTCCCTCAAATAAACAAATAAGTAAGTAAGTAAATAAATAATCCATCTGTTAATTTGGGTACCGCTTTTCAAGTTTGATCAGTCCCTGAAAAAAACCAAAACCAAAACAACCCAACCAAACAAAAATCAACCAGTCAACCAAAAACAAAGTTAAGTAACAACCTTTCCAAAATCCACGAGGCAAGATCACTTTTCATTTTATTTATTTAGTTTTGATTGCTACTACTCAGATTTCCTAGTTAGTCTTCTCTCAATACTGCTGCAGTACCTTATGTGTCATTAGATGTAAGGACCATATTATTGACTGTAAACCATGATGCTGGGTTATGTTTGAATGAAAACATTTGATGTGGATGATCAGATGAAAGATACCAAAATGTCAGACAGCCCATCGACTGCTGTTGCCATGAGATTCAACAGTCAACATCAGTCTGATAAGCTACCCGACAAGGTGGTACAGCCATGCAGATGTCACGACGGTTGGCAAGCAAGAGGTGGCCAGGCAGGACTTAAAGCAAAGCAAGCATCTCTGGCCTGCCGAGGCTTAACGCCAATTCTAGGAAAGAAAGTGGTTTATTTTCCTACCAAGCAAAACAAAATGAATAGGGTCAATCAGAAAAATGTCAAAGGAAAATCACATTAAGAATAAAACACAGAAACACACAGAAGTAAACTTCCACCTGTTAATGTTAGATACAAACAGCTAAAACGAACACGAACATGAAAGAGTGGTTCTCACTAGTGCCCTTTGAGTTATACATCACTACTTCTTTCTTTAATATAAAGCAAGAGATTCCCATGCTAGGTGAACCTCACTCTCTGGGTCCAGCATAACAAGATATCTTGGTGGTGGTTCTTTGAGGCAATCAATTAAAGCTTAGGCAATTCTAGTTTTAAGTATATTTGGCAAGGCTGCAACTCACTTGGTAGAAGTGAAAAAGAAGCAAAAAACCATAGCACTAAAGAAAACGGACACAATTTCGGAATGATCAAAGATGTCTTTATAAAGTTTTTCATGACTTCATTCTAAATATACAGAATAAAAAATAGTGTACTCATTTGTGAGACACCAACCAGATTTTCCTTATACCTGTCTCAAAATTTAAAGATCAATTTCCCCAGAGGGTGTGCAATGCATCATAAAATGGCCTTTTTTGAGGGTGGGAAAGGAAGGCATATTAAATTGTTCCATGATAGACATGCAAAACTGCTATCCAATATATATAACTTATATACATTTGATGACTTAGAAAAAAACAATCATTTGTGACAAGCCTAAAAAGCCCGACATATTTAACATACTTTAGAACGTTTAGTGTGGCAGGAGTTCTCCAATTGTACCATGGGCCCTTTGAAAGTAAGAGAAGGGCAATTTTTGCTGTGTCTGCAGCATAGCATCGTATCCACCCTAAGGAAATACAATGTGGACTGGACGGAGGGTAGAGACCTTACCTTAACACATAAGGAAAAGTATGTCAGTGTAAAAGACGGACTAAACTGCTTCGGGAAGAATGTTTTAAAAATCAATACAGGCTGGAAAAGGGGATCTTCCTTCCTGGTTAAAGCTCTCCCAATGTGAAGCAGGACCCCTCCATGCTAACTTATGGAGATAAAAACTTTCTCTGCTTATTTAGTTTTTTCCTCTGAGTTCAAGCGCTGCTGGACTCGTTTGGCGTAACTTTGTGCCATGGAGTTAATGATAGACAGGATAAAGTAACACACCATGACCACGACCAGCTTTTCAAACATCCAGGACAACCAGTTTTCTCCCTGCAGGAGAGAAAGCAGAACAATTCAAGAAAAAGGCTTTCCACCGTTCAACAGCCAGAAGGATATTACTTACAATACTTCAAGAGAAATGATGAGAACTTGAGGGTTGCCTAGACAACCCAAACAATTAGATACCGTTCTTTAGGTATCCTGAAATTTACACACTTGGCCTCCCTGAGTTCACTCTGCTGGATGCACAGCTGATGCTAACTTGTATAGTTTAGGGAGTGGGGGAGGGTGGCTATTCTTTTATACTGGACCCCGGGAACAGTGGTTTGGTTAGAGTCCACTCTCTACAGCTGCCTTGCAGATCTTGCTGGGGAGGGGAAAAAAAACCTCAAGCTTTGTTTTAAGTTAGAGCTGCTTTTAACACATGAATGGGAGCTGTGTGGACAACTGACGGCAGCAAAGGGCTACAGGAAGAGTCTAAAGTCAATGAAAACAACCCCTTTCCTCCCGGCTTCTTGGTTCAGATTGCTCCTTACTTATCTCTGCTGGTTCTTTCCTCTCTCCTCAGAACTGCCGACTAAACAGCCAGGCTTAGTTTATTCACGTTAGAAGGTCAGCTGTGGTAGGAGGCTTGCTTTATTTGAAAAAGTAAAAAGAAGAAAGCAAACACTGGCTTTCTCACAGCAGAAATGAAAAAGGATATTCATGTTCATGTTACCTAATACTTGGTGATGGTAAAATTTCTAACATTTTTACCCGATCTGGAAGTGTATGTAATAACTCAATTAAGATCAAGACAACACTGTACACAACAGAACCACTGTCTTCCATTACCCTAGTCTTATTTCTGAAAACACCCGAGAGACACAAAGACACATTCCCGGTGGAGAATACACAGTGCCCCAACTCCTGCTAATACACTGACAAACAGCCTCACTCACTCTGCCTAGAAACCGGGAGAGAAGAGAAGCGAATTTGAGTCTGAAGCTGCTGAGTGGGGGAAGCCAGAAGAGGGTCCTCACCTGTGGGCTGCCCACTTCGCTTCGGTGGTGGAGCTTCTGCCGCTGCGCCTCCAGGTACTCCTGAAAAGGTTTCTGCAGAGACGGACCTATGCCGGGAACAGCACTGGAAGCAGGTACCAAAGCACAAGCAAAGACACATTTGGGAAGAAAAGCAAGAGAAATGTTAAAGAAAATCCATTTACCAACCCCCCCAGCCTTAAAAAAAAAAAAAAAGCAGGGACTGCATAAAAAGAACAAACTACGACAAGCAGAGCAGAAACAATCCCCTAAAGCGTGGCTAGTGGATAAAAATCCTCCGTCAAACAACTTCAAACAACATTAACATATCTGGGAGAAACTAGGAACGCGAGCCCAGAGCCACCGCGAGTGAGCGCAGCGCAGCGGAGACTGCACACTGGTGTGGCACAAAGAATAAAATGAATGACTTCTGAGAAGTCCCACATTTATCACCACTAGTTCCTGTAAGAACTGGTTTAAACCGATTAATAAGGAAATGACTTATGCTTGTGTCATCTCTAGTTAAAAAAGAAACTGCCCTCCCTCCCTTTGACTGTCCCATCTTCTCGGGGGGGTGGGGTGGGGTGTAGTGAGTGTGTGTGTGGGGGTGGGAGGTGCTTTCTCAATCTAAGTCCTTATTAGGACAATCCCTGAGTCATCCTTATCCAAAAAGAATGCATTAGCACATTCGGAAGGCACCTCCCCCTCCCCAGAAGTCAGTGATTAACAAAGGAACAAAGAAGGAAGTACGGACCTTGAATCATTTCACGGCTTATGATGGATGTTTGCACAGAAACTTCTGTACATTACTAAACAGCCTGTTCCAAGATGTCTGGATAGCTCTCTCTGATAAGGCTCTGGACCAAGCAAGCTCCCCAGAGTCCGTGGAGCCAGTGCTGTAAAACCGGTCTGGCAACTGAAGCTCCCAGGCTACCAGGTCTCTTTTTTCTTTTGATAGCTAACAGGCTTTTTAAAATGGGACTGTGGGGGCAGTTTTGAAAAAGTAAACATCCTTATTTCCTGTGCCCTTTACTTTCTCATCTGTCTTATTTGCTAACAGGCAAACAAGCCTAAAATTTCTCTAGGGCCAGCGAGAGTACGGAAGGCACACGTGTGCAGTGCCCAGTGCTACTGAGAGGAGTACTGACTCCAATGAACTCTTTTTCTGGAACAATTAAGTTGCTGTTTACAAGAGCAGAAGAACAAAAGAAGACTTTTCTTTTTTTCTTTTTTTACAGTAACAGCTTCCCAGCTGCTGGACATTCCATTTCTTTCCTATCATTCAATTACCTATTAATCACTGAACACTTAAACGAGTCTCTGCTTTGTGTCCATGATATAGAAAAGGGATAGCCAAACCAAATAAACATCTCAAAACAAAGTGCAGCTGGGCGAATTCTCCCACTCATGCAGTCCCAGCACTCAGAAGGCAGAGGCAGGCAGATCTCTGTAAGTTTGAGGCCAGCCCAGTCTACAGAGTGAGTTACAGGACAGCCTTGTTTCAAAAAAAGAAAAAAACAGAAAAAGAAAAGATTATCTGTGGACAGATACAGTGACTTTGAATGTAACAGGTGCACAAGAGCTGGGAGACTTACTCCTCTTTATGGGTCAGTTCAGGCAGGCTGCCTTACTTTCCTTCCTTCCCCTTTCCTCTTTCTTTCTTTCTTTCTTTCCTTTCTTTCCTTCTTTCTTTCCTTCTTTCTTTCTTTCTTTCTTTCTTTCTTTCTTTCTTTCTTTCTTTCTTTCTTTCTTTCTTTCTTTCTTTCTTTCTTTTTTTCGAGACAGGGTTTCTCTGTGGTTTTGGAGCCTGTCCTGGAACTAGCTCTTGTAGATCAGGCTGGTCTCGAACTCACAGAGATCCTCCTGCCTCTGCCTCCCTAGTGCTGGGATTAAAGGCGTGCTCCACCACCTCCCAGCTTAAATGAGCTTTTACCTGCTTGTATATATTTGCATGTGTGTATGGTGCCACAGGAGGCCAGAAAAAGGGCTTTGGATCCCCTGGAACTGTAAGTCAGCACGTGGGTGCTGGGAACTGAACCCTCTACAAGCCCAACAGGGCTCCTAACTTCTGAGCAATCTCACCACCAGTCCTTTCTCCCTCTTTTGTTAAGATAAAGTTTCACTAGGAACCCTGGATGGCCTGAAACTCACAGAGACCTGCCTGCTTCTGCTTTCTGAGTGCGGGGGATTAAACATATACGTTCTACCATGTCCAACAAAGGACAACTCTTGGTTCTTTCCTTCCTCCTCCTGCGTGGGTCCTATCATTCTAACTCAGGTTGTTAGGCATCTCAACCTGCTAAGCCATCTCACAGGAGACAGGGTTTCTCTGAATTGTCCTGGAACTCAGAGCTCCTCCCCCTGCTTCCCAAGTGCTGGGAGTAAAGACTTGTGCCACCATGCCCAGCATCACAAAGTATTCTTGTCCCAGAGTTTTTGAAAGAAAGACAAAAAACCATTGCAACAAGTACTTTTACCACTAAGCCATCTTTCCGCGGCCCACTTCCCCCACCTCCCCTCTTTTCAGACCAGGGTTCAAGCAGCTCAGGCTAGTCTAGAACTTACTATTCAACCTAGACTTCACTCTACCTCCAGAGTGCTGGGATTACAGGCCTGCACCACTACACCCTATTTATTCAAGGCTGGGATTGGATTCCTACCTTCATGATGCTAGAAAAACACCTGACCAGCTGAGCTACATCCTTAGTCACAGCTGTCACTCTTAACACACATTTAAAACAAACTATAGCAGTCCATAAATTCATTCCTCAAGTTATGTGTGAGCAGGAGACTAGAAGCAAGAGTCTATTCTGACACGCTAGGAATAGTGTGCTTGCAGGTGTGCGTGCATGCACGCGTATATGAGTGTGTGTGATTACAACACATTATAGTTCAGCGTCGATTTATAGTTGTCATGCTGAAAGCATTAAGTTCAGGGCCCCCTTGTGCACACAGCTAAGAACTCTTTATGTCAACCCTCAGGCGTACTGGTGAAGTCCTCCACCTGCCATTAGGTGGTGGAGTTCAAAGAACTAGTTTGGTGATACAGAGGAATACAACGTTGAAGAAGAACAAATACAAGCAGAACTATGCTTTAGTACTTAACTTTAACTAGCTTTATAAATAGCTATTTACTGCTGGGCGGTGGTGGCGCACGCCTTTAATCCCAGCACTTGGGTGGCAGAGGCAGTCGGATCTCTGTGAATTCTAGGCCAGCCTGGTCTACAAGAGTTAGTTCCAGAACAGGCTCTAAAACTACAGGGGGGGGAGCATGGATAAAAAATTCTGTGGATGACTTGGAAGGCAGAGGGAACTTCTGAAATGGAGGTCAGCCTGGTGTACAAAATGAGTCCCAGTGTAGCCAGGGTTACACAGAGAAATCCTGCCCTGAAAATAAATAAATAACCCACCCCCCAAATTAATTTTCTTTTTTTTTTGGTGAATGGTAGGATTTGATATTTTGTTTCTTGTTACTGACTTTTAGAACAAGGGGGAAGAAATAAAAAAAGAACCAACAAAACTAAACAACAAAAACCAATCATAAACTCTTAAGAGAAAATCCCCAAAATACTCTAAAGCTCAGAACTCAAACTTGATTTAAGTTGACTGTTTCCC